CATTCTCCCTGGTTTTGCTCCCCTGCCCTGGCAAAGTACGGCCAATGAGACCTCTCTTCTTTTAATTGCACTTGAGCTGTAACTTGCCTTGCATCCCCTTCAACTTGTACAAGTAAATCAGCTCACTCTAGCAAGCACTGACCATATGAAATCTTCAAGGCTTCTGCTACTCCTAGGTAAGGGTTTAGTTAGGGTTCAAGGCTACATTTAATATGTAATTCAGATGTAATCTGAAGAACAACACTTTTCAAGGCCTTCTGAAATAATACTGGGACAGGTGACCTCTAATTTCACAAAAACCCAAATTTGGCACACTATCATTGAGAAGCAGCCTCAGTCTAAAACACATGATTGATGCTTCACAGTATAATCTGCACACTAACCATCACTCTTCTGGTAGGCTGAGTGGTAACTAACTAAATAAAAGTAGCTATACAATACTTTGATGAGATGGTTCGAAGAAGTGGCTTAGCCTAATGAGCATACAGACCCAACAAGTAAATTAGAAATGCATTTTAAAATAACAGTAAGACAGACTGTGCCAGCTAAGTATTGATTTAAAGAATCGTGCTGGGTTTGGCTGGGACAGAGCTAATTTTCTTCACAGCAGCTAGTATGGGGCTATGCTTTGGACTTGTGCTGAAAACAGTGTTGATGACATAGGGATGGTTTCTTTACTGCTGAGCAGTGCTTACATAGCATCAAGGCTTTTCCTGCTTCTCACCCCACCCTACCAGCTGGGCATGCACAAGGAGCTGGGAGGAGACACAGCTGGGACAGCTGACCCCAACTGACCAAAGGGATATTCCACACCATATGATGTCATGCTCAGCATATAAAGCTGGGGGAAGAAGAAGGAAGGGGGTAAGGGACATTCGGAGTGATGGCATTTTTCTTCCCAAGTAAAGATTACGTGTGATGGAGCCCTGCTTTCCTGGAGATGGCTGAGCACCTGACTGCCGGTGGGAAGCAGTGAATGAAGTCCTTGTTTTGCTTGCATGTGCCGCTTTTGCTTTACCTATCGAACTGTCTTTATCTCATTCCACAAGTTTTCTCACTTTTGCTCTTCTGATTCCCCAGTCCCATCAAGGGGAGTGAGGGAGTGGCTGTGTGGTGCTTGATTGCCATCTGGGGTTAAACCACAACATTTATATGGTAAACTCTGTGCAAATACCAGCCTAAAGGTTTTAATTTCACATTTAGATATTTTTATCTGAGGAACAGCAACATTATCATTATAACGAACTGGTCTCCCAGGCACACATTACACTGGGTGCTGTTCAAAAATTCTAGAATATAAGACTTCTTAGTAGTATTTCCTCTGTTCTTACTTGTTCCCCATGACTCACCCAGACACAGAGATATAGAGTCAAATTTTTCTGGGTCTTAGACAGACAGAATGGACAAAAAGGATTCTACTCTGTTGGTACACCTCTGTAGGGTATGGTCATCATTTGTTCACAAGGTATCAGCAGCCAAATGATATTTAGTTAGCAACCCTCAATGCCAGACAAGGATGGACTGCGGCTTCAAACTCTCCCTCCTGCTAACTTGCAGAACAGTACTGAGTAGGGGCTGGGGAGCTATGGCTCTTCAAAGGGATAGCAACAACAACCTTTGGGCACTGTATTATACCTTTCAAGGACAATTATAGAATCATAGAATCATTTAGGTTGGAAAAGACCTTTAAGATCATCAAGTCCAGCCGTTAACCTAACCCTGCCATTCCACCATTAAACCATGTTGCTAATTATACCTGTTACTCTGAGCAGTACAATGAGGCAGGCAAGAAGGCAATTGGGCAGGCCATTCCATGGCCTCACAATAAAACTTTCCGTTTGAAAAGAACCCAATGTTTTCATACCCATGCCAAGAAATAACTGTATACATCAAATGCTGAGCTATGTAGATACATTGCTTTGGCATTTATCCTGCATTCTTCTGCAAAAAGCCATACAACTACACATATTTAAACAGCTAAACTATTCCCTTTTTTTTTAAGCTACTGAGACCAGAACTAGTAAAAAGAGAGGTTAGTCCATTATAATGAAGAAAGATCAAGGAATAATTAAAAACAACTCAATTTTGAAGTCAGAAAAAATTATATTATTTGCATCAAAAAAGACCAAATAGAAATTAAGTCAAGTGTTGCCAATATTTCTGCCAGTGTTTTTGGGATAATGCTGTACCTAGGGCAAAATAACACTATCAGCTGTTTTTCTGAGAAGCTGCAAGGATTAATGTTAGCTCTCTGCTTTTAAATACTTGGAAGGTATTCAAATGCAATGACAATTAGTTTAAGTTGGACAGAAAAAAATGTATTTTCTCTGCACGTGGTATAATATTGGTAATAGCCAATTAAAAAAAGAAGATGATTCCTGTATGATTTGAAGGTCAATCAAAACATTCCACTAAAAATTAAAACAGAGAATACTCACTGGTGTATGTGAAGGTAAATGTAACTCCGGTAAGCAAAATGCCACTATTTTCAAATGCAGCAGTAAAGAAAATAACTGATCTTTGATATCAGCCTCCACTTCTGATGGATGGCACTGATTCTGTTCAAGCAAACAAACAACTTATGTCCAGCATTATAGTGTCCTATAACTACAAACTTTCAAAAAAAAAAAAAAAATTAACATATTTCACCAGTAAACATGGAAAGTGAACGAATACCTAACTTTATCTGTGCACTATGGTAACAACCATAAAACTAAACTTAGGAGCAGCAGTTCTAAGTTATATTCACAATTAAGACAGCAACACTCTATGACACAAAAATATCAGGTGAGAAAAATTAAATAACAAATAAGAAAATTTTTTGCTGACATAGTAAGTGAAGTTTTGTTTTCCACTTACCACTTCAGATTCAAAACCAATCCCTTCATCAAGTTTAAATTAATCAATAAACTTACAACATGAAGTTTTTTGGTTTGTTGGGGGTTTTTTTTGTCATTTATGCCTGCTATCTCTTCTTCAACACAACTGTTAGCTCAGAACAGCATAACTAAGACAGATAAACATTCAACTAGCCTAATATTAGCCACACTATAAAACTATCACAACTTGCAGCCCCAAATATTACTTTCAGCCTTTTAAGCTTGAGCGGTAGTGGCTGAAGAGCAAACACAGATCAGCTGCTGTTGTGATTGCTGCATCATGGTAAGCTCCAGCTGAGGCAAACTGCTGAACACTTCTTAAACGGTGTCAACTAGAGTTGTCAGGAGATCATAAGCCAGAGCCCCAAGCAATCTGATTAGAATCAGAGAGTGACTGGATTAGTGGAACTACTGAATTAGTATTTGATGAGCTGTATAATTCATATGCTATCTTCACAGCACTACTAGCTCTAACACCTGCAACATGAATTAGCATCCACCCCTTCATGTGCCAGGTGACTCAAGCCTCACTTAAAACTGATTTGTGCAAAGGTTTGCACTGAAACCGAGGAAAAAATCAAAACTAACTATACCTTGATCTAGCAATTCAGTAAAGAAGCTTGCCAACTCTATTGGCATGTTCTCATTATTTTCTGTTCTTTCATTTTAACCAGCTTTAACAGGCAAAGTTGGGAGCTATTCTCTCCTAGAGGCACGAAACAATTGGCCAGGCAATTGGTGGTAGCTTGTCTCTGTGAGAGGTGAAAGACTTCCAGAGCCCAGCACGCAACGAATTCTGGGTTCAGTGAGAGAATGGGTCCCTGCCTCTCACGGGGGTAGAAAGTGCACACTCAGTGGCACCTTGCCTGGCTGGGAGTGTGTTTGCCAACTCTCTTGTCACACATCAGTTTGTAACACTGAAAAATATCATGTACCAAAGGAAGGTGAAACGCTCTCCTGAAGCAGCTGCCAGAAGCAGGCCCATCCAGATAAGCCATGTCTACTGCTTTTTGAACGCTTTGGCAGTGTGCTTCTCTCAGGGCAGCCTGAGCGCAATGCTCCTCTCGCACGCCTGCAAGCTACCGGGGTGCCTTGTCAGGTTTTAGTCATACTCCAGACAAACCTGAAGATTCCTTCAATCATGGGCTGACCAGACCTCCTTCCTAGAATTACAGTGAATTAAACAAATAAACACACACAACTTTTGGCTTTCATAGTAAACCTAAATTAAACATTTGAAATTAACAGTTTTTTCAAGAGCTGAAAGGGTTTTTTTGTTGTTCCTTTTTTAAATGAAGTTGTCTGTTCCTAAATTTCAGTCAAAAAGCTTAGGTTCCCAACTCACTGTAGGTTTTCATATTCATAATGATCAAAATGCAACTTGAAACAAGGCAATTACAGTGAAATCAGCTCAGCCACGAAATGGGATTGCAGTTAGAGCTTTATCTGCGTCCATCCCTACAATTATTCCAAAGGAGAAGGACTGAGTAAGTTATGTTACTATTTATAGTAAAAGGAAATGAAAAATATGAGTGCTTAGTAAATAGTAGGCAATAGAGAAAATACAGTAATTTGGAGTTATGTCTTCACTAATATCTAGTAATTCACAGGTGGCATGTTACATCTGTGTGCTGCATTTTATTTGACATGTTCACAATCCTTTTAAAGTCAGTCACAAATCCAAACACAGTTAGCGGGCAGGTTATTTAATAAAATCAGATTTATAAAACTATTACTGTGTGAAACAGCATTTCACCTATTAAATTTTTCTGATACAAAACCAGCTACCCAAATCAATAGAAAAATAAAAGCAATAAATAATGAAACTATGAGAAAATAATTGAGATGCCATCAAAGCTATAAATACATCAAATATTTCTGATGATATCATAATGCACTCTACATGCTTCCCCCCCTTCTTTTTTTTCCCTTCGCAAAACCTCTCCCGGTATCTGCAGTTCCTAATCATATATTCTATAAATACAGCTCAGTTGACTAAGGCTGAAATGTGCTAAGATGCAGTAACGTTTCAAATTCATACATGAAACAATTTGGAGGCTTCCCCCAGGCATTGGCGGCTGCGGCTCCCGCTGCTCTGCTACCCACAATCCCCCCATTTACCTGCTCGCTGGGCTGCCTCAGCTCTGGTCAGGAGGTGGCAAAGCTGATCCAGCTTATCGGGCTGCTCCTCCAGGGACTTCTGCTGCCATATGGCTGACCCAGGCCCCGCAGCCTCCCTCAAGGCATTCCACTTCTGTATCAGAGCGAAGAGCTCGGAGAAGGACTTGTGATAACCCTGTCGCAGCATGTCTATGCAGATGTTCTTCTTGTATGAATTCCTGTTCCTGGGAATAAGAAAGAGGCATTTTAAAGCCTTTAAACCTGTAGTCTCTTCTCCACCTTACCAAATAAGTACAGATAACTAAAACAGCTTTCAAGAAGAGACCTCTGCAGTTCAGCAGCGGGGAAGGGGAGTCTTTCCCCCCCGCTCAAAGAGCATTCTGCTAAAACACGATTACGAATGTCATACCCTAGGGAAGTAAATACAGCAATAACGAATAAATACCAATACATGTATTGAAAACATGTTAAAAACATACTGGCGTTCTTTAGTGGGTATTGGTAAAAAGGCTCACTGATGGGGAAAACCCCCATGTTCACATTAGCTCATGAAAACACAATGAACTCTTAGTTTGCTTTAAAACAGTGCATAGGGAAAAACGAGGCACATTCCACATGTCAAAACAATGTATATGTTAAATAGTTTTGCTGTAGGACATGATGGCTTGGTTTAAAATGTCAAACAAATGCTATGCCAGAAACATAATCATTAGATATTATTTTGCTTCTGTTTAGCATATAACTTCAGATGGGACTGGTTTGCTGATGCAAAAGTTTGATAATTTCACCCTAATTTTAAAATCAAACGATGCAATGATGGTTTGATATCAAAGTTATCTCATTCATAAGCTCTGATAAGATATACATATCAAAAAATTGTGTAATCAGATATTCTCAAGAGGTAATATGTATCTTTTGAGGTATTATTTGTGGAAATAATCAAAATATCTCCTTTATGTGTAATGAAACAATTGTGTCCTATCCTGGAAAAACCTATGAGTCCAACGGGATTCCCTGCAACACTAGAGCAGAGGTGTAAAGGTTTGCAGGCGTAGGTGCCTAGCGTGAGAAGACAAACCTTTGTCCCAGTAAAATGGCAAGGACCCAGATGTATTAATTTTATTTTCTGTGTTCCATTAAGTTTCCAAACTGTTTTCAAGCCTGTCTTTTTAGATTAAAATCCATTTAACTTCAAATTCTCAGCAGCTTTAAAATAAATATGGAATTCTGAAAACTGAGATTTATAGTGTGTGTAATAAATTCAGATGACCTCATGCTAAACAATAGCTTAATGAGATGACTACTTCTAGCCTAAAAAGAGCTACTGCAGTTCTTTAACAATGCTAATAAGATGTAAGCAGTGTGAAAAACTTCTTAGTTAGATGTCAATGAAATAAAGAGTAATGTGAAATGTAAGACGTAAATAATCTGTATTATTTAATATTTAATACTATTAATATAAAATATATTAATCACTATATAGATGCACATTAATCCTTCACATGTATTTTTTTACATTTCAGTTACAGAACTGAACACAAAAATATTACAAAATCCTGATACAATTTAGACTAGACAGTATAAAATTTTTGTTTAATATACAAATAGATGTTTTTTGAGGTTGAAAAGCCCACACTGTTCACAGAGACAAGGGAAAATATAGAACTATTCTGTACCAGAAAACATTTGCAACATCTATCTTAGAGAAGGAAATGAGAAATATCTTTAAATACTTAAATTTTAATTTGCCAGAATATGCTATATTTGTCATATCAGATGCACAGTATATAGCCAAAAAATACTGTAAAGAAATTATGTTAATACCATACAATGTATTCCCTACTCTGTATGAGGAATCCTTCATTTTTTCTGTTTTAAAATTCTATCTAGCTAAAAAAATTTGAAGAATATAGGTAAAAAATTCCTACCAACTTCCATAGGCCGAGGAGTGAATCCTACAGCAACGTAACTCAGAGCGGTGGAATAACAATCTGCATAGCAGACACACATACATGCATATTTATTTCTATAATGTGATCTGTATTTGTGTATATGTGTGCATGCATTAGATCCTTAGGTGTATTGGAAGTAAACAAGAAAGTCCTACTAAAATATATTCACAGTGACCAAACAAAATGTCATTCAGTTAATTTTTACCACTCACTGCATACTCACTGAGCACAGTACCGATATTTGTATAAATAGAAAACCTATGTCCACCTAACATGTTATTTCCTGTAGAATCATGCATTTTTCTTGAAGTCAAAACACATTTTCCCCACAAGACAGTGTTACTAGCAAACCAATACAGGAAAGCAAAACGTACAGTAAAATGGGTCGGTTTTAAAAATCAGTGTCCATATCCTTTTCGTGAATCCCATCCCAATTAATAAAGAAATTGAAATAATGCTGAAGTAATCATACGGTACAGAGCACATGTTTTTCTTAGGCAAAGATAACTGATTTTAACTCACAAGCAATGAAGCTATCTACAGTATAACCATTCAATTTCTACAGGCACAAAGACAAAAGTTATCACTCACACTTAAAACCAGAAAATATACAAAGCGCAAAATAATAATACTATTGTTTCCTTTAGTGTCTACAGTATGTAAGCCACAAGTGACTGATCACACACAAGCAATAAAACAGGGCTAGAAATGAATGATATTATGGGGATGAATGGTATCTGCGACGCCTCAGAGCGCTTGACGCTGCAATGAGTTCTGAAATGGTTTCAGTTGTGGAAGTGGTTCCAGGCGAAAATGTCCTTTTCCCTGGCAAACAGGGCTTTTGAACAGAGGAGCAGTGTAGGTGGCAGCAGAAAACTTTTCCTAATATCTTGAGGTAAGCTATAAACCCTCAGTCCTCACGATCTTTTTAGCGTACTGCTTTTCACGATGTCACGCGGCATGTAAAATGAGAGGTTAAACAGAACATCTCACGCTTTACACAGTCGAAGGGTACTTTATTTCCAGTCTCAATATCAAAACCCGATACCTAATTCAGCGTACATGATTTCTTCTATAGAATCCAACCGTTAGCAGTATGTTCCTGCTACGTTGATAAGCTGGTTTACGCTAAACCTTTTCAACCTTACCACCTGATAAGCGATGATACATGGTTAAACACCTAAGTTTGCTTCTCTGCGTTGCATCCGCACCGATTTTAGGTTTCCTTTGAACAATTGCGTTACTTCCAGAAGGAAAATGATAAAACCAGCCCGGCCTCTCGGTCGGGGGGAGGCGTTCGCGAGGTTTAATGGTCTCTGGGGGCATCTACTGGAAATGTGCAAAACTGCAGCCCCCGCCGCCTCAACCCGGCCGCTCCCGGTGCCACTAAAGCCGAGGGCCAAAAGCAGGCGAGGGTTGCCCGCTTAAACTGGGGCAATTGGAAGGCGCGGGCAGCTGTGCCACGTTAGCTGCCTTCAATTTTAAAGCCGCCGCGTGACAGGAATACAAACCTCGCCTCCTCTTCCCCCCCGACTGACCATACGCGCGTGCCAGGAGAAAAGAATTCAGATGTCATTTCTAGAACAAATTATTTGTAATGAAGTCTGGAGCGTATCTATGCATTTATGGTTAAAACAAAGGGACCAATGAATCCGTTTTTAATTTAAAGCAGATTGGGTTTATTTATTTTTTTTTTAAATCCCTGAGATGCGACAGATGAAACCCATAACGCTTAACCCAAACACAGACGATGCTGAGAAGCCACTGCCCCTCTGACCGAACGCTCATCTCATTACTGAAACCCTGGTGATGTTGCACAGAGTTTGCTTACGCGGGCTGGGTGAAACACTGAAATGAGGCCCACTGGGGGGGTCTGGGCGGGTGTCCTGCATCTGTCCCACACCAGCAGTTACGTGATGCGGTGTTTTGTGTAGGAGGTGCTGAAAAATTCTGTGCGCTTCAGCATGTGTGTCATGGGGGGGGCAAGGGGCATGGGCCAGAAGAATTTTTCAGCACCACAAGAATTTTTCAGCACCACATGAATAACCACCGAAAGTTAAAGTTGCCATTATAGTGGTACCAGAGTATAGCTGATGAGTTCATCCAGTATAATATCGCACAGGTGGAAGCAGCTATTTATTGAACGCGGATCTGTGAGCTTGAAAAGGCACTGCTGCTGCTAACACTGTGCTTGAAGTGTACCTGGATATCGCTACGGGCATTTTACTTTTCTTAAACTATACAGCTACTTATTTTTCTTATACGGATTTCTTTTATTATTATCATTGCTATTCTAAAACAATCTAGAGTCGTGCTGAGGAATCATAGAAACCTGATTCTGATCTGCCGTTGCCAGTGCAGAAACCATCACTGCTAATCTTCAGCGAGGCTAATGAAATTACACTGTTGTTGCAATCCCGAGGACCTTCCTGTGTGATGGTATTGTACTTTTACAAGACTCTTAAGCAGTGCTGGGAGATCAGGACAGTACCATTGCACATGCCCTTTAACTTAAAATACTGCTGAACAAGGTTATTTGTATTCTACCCTTTACACTGGAAGAAAGAAAAGAGAAAAGAAATTAAGAGGCCAAGAGGCAGGTACTGGTGTTAGAAATAATCAAAATAGTCAGGATAGCATAACAGAATTATTTATCATGGGCTTAATTCTCTATGTCTCCTGTCCAGTGTGGTCAATTATAGGCATGCAAAATATGTGCAAAAGCCTACTGTTTTCAGATGACTTTTTTTTTGTCCGTATCTACAGATTTTGTAGGATTTAATTGTATTATAGGTTAATGCCAGCTGCTGATTACAATACAAGTGTACTGTAGCAATCCCATTTTGTAAAGCACAAAATGGCATGGATTAAACAACAGTAGTATATAAAATATTAAAGTGTACTTCCAGTGTAAAATAATTACTCTACCAATTATTACAATGTTTAAAAACTGTATTCAAATAGGTTTCAAACACTTGGGATTTCCTTCTGCAGTTGGCAAGTCAATGACTGATACAAACGCCTCGGAGAAGGATCACAAAATTATGAAAAAAGAATCAAGATATTTTTGCTTAAATTTAAATAAACAAATGCATTTTACTTCACCCCCTACACTTTCTGTCTATAAATTTCCAGGAAAATTAAAATTACATCAAGTATGTGAATACTTAGCTACTTTGTGTTTAACCTATATGCAAACAAACACAGCATAAAGAAGGAGACAGCAGGATTTCCTCACTAAAATTTGAAAAAATTTATGCAGTAAGTAGAAA